CCTCAAATAGGACAAATGGTCCAAACGATTCCACAACGGGCAACAATGTGGGACCTGATGCCATGACGTGGGCCAGCACATGGGAGATGATGAGTAGGACATTGGAAGCGTTCGCTACAAGGAACACTGACTCGAGTGAAAGAGGAGGTGGCAAATCCAGGAAAACATTCGAGAAGCCAAAAGAATTTAAGGACGACTCAGATGGATGCATCGACACATGGGTAGAAGTCATGAGACTAAATTTGGAACAAGACAACTTGAATGACGAGAGACAGGCCTGCACAGCGATACTCAGCAACTTAGAAGGCACGGCGTTAAAATGTGTAGTTGCAAAGAAGGAAGCGGAACGTGATACTGCAGACAAAATCTTCGAGATTTTTTTGAACCGATTCGGATCAAGAATGAAGGGTCACCAAGCTATGATGAGATTCGAAAAGAGAAGACAGAGCGATGATGAATCAATCGATCGGTTCCTGGATGATCTTGAGAGCTTGAGAAGAAGGAGTGATCCTGAAGAGTCAACAAACAGAAGGAACTTCAGCATCGCCTCAAAATTTATTGAGGGGGTTAAAAGTGTCGACTTGAGAACAATGTTGGCAACGTATTATACACTGTCGAAAGATAATGCACCGATTCCGGATGAGATGAGGCAAAAATCAAGGGAGTACATGCTGAAGAAACCAAAGAAGTAATCATATCCAGAGAATAGGAACATGCAAGGGGGGAGTCAACCACTGGTGTCGTCTCAGTACAAGCCTAGAGATGATATGGACAAACGCAGGTCATGCGCAAATTGGGGATAAGCGGATCATCAGGTGGCGGATTGCACGACGTACAAGCAAGGCATGAAGAGTCTGGGATATGCACCGGATGAGGAAGATATGAGCCAGACGGAAGAACATGAGTTCTACAGCGGCCAGATTATCAAGATAGGTGCGAGATGCTTCTTCTGCAATCAAGAGGGCCACTTCAGGATGGACTGGCCATTGTTTTGGGAAGCAGTGAAGAACTAAAGTCACTCCAAACACAAGCTATCGTTGGCGGCGGTACAGAACACGAGGAACAGGCAAGCCGAGTTTGACAAAAAAAACTCGGAGTTACCGAGTGCGGAACTAGAGACAAAAACGGTGAAGGCTGTAGCGCAAGTCAAGAATGCCATAGAAGCCGAAAACAGGAACTCTTTAGAAATAAACTATGAGAAAGCAGCGGCGGAGGCCATCAATAAAGTGAAAAAAGACCTAGCAACGAAAGAGATCGAACAACGACTAAAACAGGAGATCGAAAGCAGAAGTTAAACGAGACATTAAGTAGGTCAGTCCCAATGCCAGAAGCGGAAGTGGGAGCGACAAAGAGTGGAAATTGCAACACTCTAAAACTGGTGACTGGAAAGCCATTCGGCATAAAGAAGATCGGAGCCAGGATAATGTCGATAATCACTGTGGGCGGCCACGAAGTAACGAGAAACCTGAGTGAACCAAGCGATCAGACGACAATGCACATTGATGTTTACGCAGTTTACTTAAGTGCAATAAGTCCGCAAACAACTTCTAGAGCCTTGAGGGCACTACTCACAAGAGGTGGTAGCAAGTTAGTTCGCGTCGAGGATAGGTACAAGAAAGCCTATGGTCCACATGAGGTGATGTTAAATATAGATGGAATAAACATCTACACGAAGACTATGATAACATGCGACAAAGACCTGGGCAGGGAAGAACTGAAAGTGAGATCGATTGGAAACTGTGCCATGTTGGAAGAGGATGCAATGCATATCGGTACAGAAGTGGACGTATCGGCTCACGAGCCTGACATTAATGGCAAGAGGACTCAGTTTTGCGGGTTACTTGATACGGGAGCGGTCTTGAGTGTTATACCAATCGAAACTTGGGAACGAATGGGTTTGGACAAAGAAGACTTGATAGACTCAAGAATACGGCTATCAGCTGCGAACAAAGGGGCGCTGCGGGTGCTAGGCAGAACACCAATATTAGCCCTAAATCTAGGTGAACGCAACCTGTGGATGAGTTTTCTTGTAGTGGAGAACCTAGACGAGTCTGACCAATTATTTTAGGCAGAGACTTCATCAGGAACTTCGACTTAACGATTGATCTAAACAATGCCATGTTCACGATTCGGAATCCGGAAAGGAAGTAAGTAATTAAACCGGTAAATTTGATAATGGCGAATGAAAATATTGCACCAGTATTCTTGAGTAGGAGGGTGAGGCTGAAAGCAAACGAAGCGGCAATTGTAAGCTTGCGAATGAAAAATTATAAGTGACGACAAGCAAATGCTTGCTAAGTGACGACAAGCAAAAGTGCATAGTCACAAATCCAAATAGTCAAAGCGCTGCTGTTTTAGAAAGATCCTTCTCCTGGAAGAAACTGGAAAGGAAGAACCTGGAAAGGAAGTACGTAATTAAACCGATAGATTTGATAATGGCAAATGAGAATAGAGCTCCAGTTTTCTTGAGTAGGAGGGTCAGGTTAAAAGCGAACGAGGCTGCGAGAGTAAATTTCAGAATGAAGACCTATAATGAACTAAGTGAAAACAAACAAGTACGTATAGTACCGAATCCGATTAGTCAAAGTGCTGCTGTTTTAGGAAGATCATTCTCGATAACCAAGAGCGGTCTCTGCGTCAGTGTCTTGTTGAATACTCTTGATATACCCATCACAACCCAGAGATGAAGGAAACTGGAATACGCTTTACCTGTGAACACTCGATTTGAAATGACTGAAAATGTAAAAGAGAATGAAGTTCTTGGTTGTCCGAATCATAGGGACAAGATTTGTATCTTGAGACGACTAAAGAAAATAAAAGATTCATCAGGTCTTGTGAAATCACTTAAGCCAGAAACAGACGATGGACTTTCGAGCAGTTCGAATTTTCCAGAAAGACCCACACCAAATGAAATTGAAATGGATAAACCGGTTTTACCGGAAATAGAGCACATGAGGGGCAAGGTAACGGATGAACAGCTCGAAGCCATCAAGGACGTACTAGAGCGGAATGAGGTTGTTTTTTCAAAACATAAGGCAGACATTGGATATTGTAATTTTGTTGAACATGAAACAGAGCTTGAAGAGTCGGCGCTGCCGCACAGGGAGGGGGCGAGGCGTATGACCCCACAAAAATCGGATGCATGTAGAAAAGAGATAGAGACCTTACTAGATTATGATATGATAGAACCATCCAAATCACCGTGGGCGACCAAAAAGAAGGCGACCAATTGAGGTTTTGTTGTGACTTTCGATGCCTGAACTCCGTCACGGTGAAGGATGCCTATCCCATACCTAGGATTGATGAGAGCCTCTCAAAGATAGGGGACGCAAAATTTCTTACGACTCTTGATTTAGGATCAGCTTTTGGCAGATTCCCTTGAGGAAGCAAGACAGGGATAAAACAGGGTTTGCTTGCGAGCTGGGGCTGTTTCAATGGAAGAGGATGCCCTTTGGACTTTGCAACGCGACAGCCACATTCCAATGACTGATGGCACAAGCACTGACAACTGTGACGAAGAAATATGGCAACTTGGTGATGTGTTAGGTAGATGACGTAATGATTGCACTAATTACCCTGAGAGGCCACATAGAACGACTAGACGAGGTGTTCGCCTGCATGAAGAGATTGGGACTAAAATGCAAGCCATCAAAGTGCGAAAAACTCAAGGACTCGATTAAATACCTGGGGAGGATGGTGGACAGACACGGCATCAGACCAGACCCAGATGCAGTAGAAGCAGTTCTGACCTGGAAATAGCCAAAAACGGAACATCAACTGATGATCTTCTTGGGTTTTGCGAAATATTACAGGGAGTTAATTAAGCGCTATGCGGACAAAGTGTACCCGATGCAACAACTGATGAGGCACAAGGGCAAGAAATTCATGTGGAACAATGCGGCAGAAGAGTCATTCCAGAGAATAGAGAAGGAGTTATGTGAAGCACCGGTGCTAGGGATGCCAAAGGAAAAGGGAATGTACGTGTTGGACACGGATGCATCGGTAGTAGCGATTTCTGGTTTTCTCCATCAAGAGCAGGAATGGAATGGGAAGATAGTCTTGAGACCAATATTAGACGGGAGTAAAGTCTTGAGTGATACGGAGAGGAAGTACGGGGCGCCCAAAGTAGAGATGTTCGCAGTGGTTACCTTTGTCGAAAAATACAGGGCATACCTAGGGAGCGAGGTATTCAAGTTACGAGTCGACAACAGGGCTCTCAGCTGGTTGAAAATGTACTCAATGGATCAGAGCTACATAAGGAGATGGATAGTTCGCCTGGATGGATACAACATGATAATTGTGCATAGGACAGGAGACAAACATCAAAATGCCGATAGCTTGAGTAAGAAGACGGAGTTCTACGAGAGACAGGAACAGAGGGAGGCTTCATGGATGAGGAAACGTATGATAGTCTTCCACTCACGAGATGGCTCGACAAGTCTGGCAAACCCATAGAAGATGACCCCGAACTACCAAAGGAACGTCCAGAGAAAACAATCTTGAAAAGGACCCAAGGGATGCCAATGGGGATAATGCTCAAGTCAAAAATTGTGAGAGAGACACTCAAGGCAAAAGGCTATGATCTCAACCAAGTAAAAAAGGGAAGAGCAGATATAGATGAAGACTTGAGGAGATTACTCGAGAAACTGGTAGACGATAAACCTGTGGTAAAGGAGAAGGGTGAAGAGGAACCACAAGTCACGACATTGAGAAGAAATGAGGCGGATGGTAGCCAGGACTCCTCGAAAGAAAGGAAACCTGATGGAAAAGAATTCGTGCAGTCATTGATTGAGAGGATCCCTGAGGACATTCTTGAGCGGACTTTGGTTAGGAAGAAGAAGGTAGCATTCAAGTAGGAGGCTGAACACCTCGGACTGAGTCAAGAGTCCGGGGAGTGGGACAATGCAAAGGAAGATGCTGAAGAAGAAAAATTGTCCGGGGAGTGTGAAGAATGGGATGAAGACTCAGAGAAAAGCAGCGATGACCAAGGTAGTCTATGCATGATACTGGCAGAAGAGAAGATGAGGCACCGAGATAGGGAACTACAAACGGATCCCTCCTCCGGATCGTACAATTTGGATCAGCAGGAGGTGTGCGGAGGTGAAGAACTTGAAAGAATTGCAGTATCAAGGAAACTGTTCAGGGAGCTATCATGCAACTCGAATGTCAGAACAAACGTGGTACCAGAAGATGACAGGAAGGTCCTGAGGAGGATAGTCTGCGTCAAACTGAAAGATGACATCCAAAGTCTAGGAGAAATGAACAGTCAAAAAATGGCACTGAAGGAACAGGTCAAGGCGAGATATAGGCTATCGGATCTGATACGTGCCCAAAAGAATGACAGAATGACAAGCAACCTCTCCAAATGGATCCGGACGGGGACCGAGGCGAAAAGGGAAAGGGGACCTGGAAGAAGGAAGCTACAAGTTCTTGAGCCAGTTCTAGGTTTGCTCTATCACACAGCTGATGGGGTGGTAGCATGCAGGAGAAAGGATGAGGAGAAGATACTACACAAGCATATCCTCATCATACTACCACAGTTGTACCAGGCAGAGGTGATATTCAGATTGCACGACCAAATGGGGCATCAGGGGATAGATAAAGTACAACAGAGAATACTACACTGGTTTGATTGACCGGGATTAAGAAAGGCCTGCGAGAGATGGGTGAACGCATGTCTGGCATGTCTACAGGTGAAAGACCCACGGAAGATGAAGTTACCACTCAAGCCCGTTGAGAGCTCGGAATTCAACGAGGTTGTGCAGATAGACCATCAGAAGATCTGCATGACAGAGTCGGGGTATAACCAGATACTGGTCATAATAGACCACTTTTCAAAGTTGGCGGAAGCGGTGCCCTATCAAACAGCCTCAGCGGAGGAGACTTTTGACCACTTGATAACACATTGGAAATCACGATATGGTTGTCCGATGACATTTCAGTCGAACAACGGGAAGGCCTTTGTGGGTGACCTGACAAAAAAATTGATGAAGAGGTCTTACATTGCTCAAGCGCACTCAACGACTTACCATCCTCAGACTAACGGGTTAGTGGAGAGACAGAACAGAACGTTGGTGAACATGCCGATGGTATATGGTCGAGATGCATGACAGACTGGGATAAGTATCTGCCGCAAGTGGTCGGGGCATACAACAGCACGCAACACAGCACGACAAGGTGGGAACATCTGGAGATTGTGACAATGGCAGATCGCTTTTGGAAATCTATGCCTGCAGTGCTCAAGAGACCTACGCTCGGTGAGCTATACAAACGCTTGAGGGATCTGGACTACACCCAAGTCGATGAGAGGATGGCAGTCATGTTGAACGTCATCCTGCAGTTAGAGGGGCAGGGTGAATGCAGGGAGTCAGCGACAGAAGCTGTTTGATGGTTGACTACACGATAGAGGGGATATCCAATCGAGAGCAGACCAGATGTTTGTTCTGGTATGTGGATGGAGGCGTGAGGGGAATCGACTTGGCGAGAATTCCTGGCTTGAGCAACAACATGGAATACGGCGCGGTAGAGTTCCCACAACCAACCAGGCCACCGGCAAGATCTGAGGGCCAGTCTACGAGTAAGCCACCGTCTATGATGCGGTCACAACAGACGGAGGAAGAATATCTGGACCTCAGTTACCTAAAGATGGAACTGGAGAGGGCGTTGACGGAGAGAAACAAGGCGAATTTTGACTGGGATGGTGCGAAGCTCGAGAGGGACCAGGCGCACCTGGAAAGAGATCAAGCGGTCCTCGAGAGGGATCCAGCGAGGCGTGATCTTAGTATGATAAGGGCAGAGTACCAACAAGAGCAGAAGGTAAGCGAGAATGAGGCGAACTGTGAGCAGTTGAAGTCTAAAATTGAAAAGATCCAGCGGCGACAACGTCGAGGAACCAAGACCACAGAACGAGCAGCTGTAGGGTCAAGGCCAAAGTCGCGGATGGAGGTGGAAGAAGTTCCTAGGTCCAGTGGGCGATTCAGCTTGGACCGAGCGGCTCAGGAGCACACCAACGAGGGACTGGAAGTGTGGATACAACCCGAGCTGGTGTCCTCCGTGTGTGGTTTGGAAGCGCAACCAATACGCCGACTGATGGAGGTAGCACTGCAAGCACTGCCAAGTTAGCGGGAGTTCATCACGTCTCAAGGAACTACACGATAGGCTGCAGTTGGGAACCCGTGACGACTCAACAAGAGTGGAGCGACCCCCTGTTTGGAGAGACCAACCAGTCAGGAGCGTGGTGATCGCAAGCTACAAAAAGAATTCAGACGGAAGATATTACCGACACAACCGTATGGATTGGACCACGGCACAGCGGGCGAGAAGGGTTTGTTTCCACGACGCGTCATGGGCCGAGTACTACGCACAGCCCAGAACACCGGAGGGTGCGGTCTTAATCATAGGGGACAGCCTGATACGAGTGCTGACCCGGATCCAGTCGCATTGGCAGACTGGAGTCTTGAGCTTTTCTGGAGCCGCAACACCTCAGATGTTGGCATCACTTGAGATGTTAGACATGTTGAAAGTGTACACTGTGACTCTGATGATGGGAACCAATGACGTGTCCAGAAGTGAATCGAGGAAGGTAATTAGGCTACATGCGAAGATGAGCTGCATCCTTGAGGTGTTGAGGATTCAGATGGATCCTGCCATACACACGATTTGCACCGTCCCTTATAACATGAAAGCCGATCAGCATGCGATGAAAATGAGCGAGAAGGTGGGAAACATCAACGAAATAATCAGGCAAATACAGCAGAGGAGCGTGCTCCCCGTTAGGTTGTTGGATGTGGCAGATATGATGAAGCGATCCTTCCCGGATGACGCGTCTTCGGATGGCATCCATTTTGATAGGCCTAAAGGTGTGGAATGGCTGAATGGCGTCTTCCAGAAACACATAAATAGACTGGAAGCGGATCTGCTGGAATCGGCCCAATTCACCTTCGGTCCACCCCGGTGCCCCCTTTATTTGCCACGAGATCCCTGTCCAATCGCCTGGGAGTGAGAGTCGATTCGAGAGACAGCTCAAGGAGTAGCCGGACCAGGCTGCCGGAAACCACACCAATGGAGGCCGAAAAAGCAGAATCGTCCACAACCCAAAATTCGGTGGTATCCTCAGTGGTGGTGGTGGATCACAAGAGTGTGGAAAAACCGACGGAGACGAGCCGGACACGATATCTGGAGAGTATAAAGGAATTGGAACTGGAAGATCTGGAATGCAGACAGGAGTTGGCGGAGACCCTGGGGCTCAAGCACGTGTCAAATGGGGACTTGAGTCGACACCATTGTGTGGATTGGTTGAAGGCCCATGAATCACACTTCTTGAGAGCGAGGATGATGGAGACGGCGGATTTGACCGGGATTCCTCTGAAATCAATAATGGGACCGATCAACTATAGGACACTGCCACTCAAGCTGTTGGGGAGTCCAGGGCTCATCGTGGAGACCCCCAAACACCAAACAAGCGTAGCAAGAATCAGATTGGCTACTCCTGCGCAGCTGAGAGTAGTGGACAAATTACTGGAGCCGAAAGACATGGGACTCACAGATGCTGCCTATGAAGGCGGAAAATTAGCAAATTACTGAAGATAAGGAACACCCTGTGGGAACGCACAGTTGGCCAAGACATTGGCGGTGCATGATCGATCGGATCCAGGAGACGCAAGAGTAATCTTTTGGCCAGAGATCCTAATGTACCTGCTGCCTGGTGCGGAATTGAACCAGATGCTGAATCTGGTGGTGGCAATCAAATCAGAAATGCCTTGCGAACCGGAGCTGCTGCTGTTTGCTGGATCACTTGCATGCGGCGGGGCTTCTGGAGCATCTGAAAAATGATGCACCGACGCCCAAGAAGGTCTGGGAAGCTATCCAGACATTGTTTGCGGCAATGAATGAGGTGCAAGAGAATGTGACTTCTCGATTCGGAGCCAAGACAAAGATGGTGTTTACAACGTCCCCGGGGTACGCAAGCATGCCGCCGCCGTTGCAATTTGTGTACGCTATCTTGATCCTCATAGCGGAGGGGATTGAGTGGCGGGTGTTGATGGCAGCCCCTAATCGAGAGCTGGAACCCACGAACTTGAGAGTTCTGAAGTCGGAACTGGCAGCGGCATGGGCGGACGCATCTCATGCCTTGAGGGGATTCTACGAGTTGGCAGACATCCTCATTTTGTTTAACGAGGTCTATTACTTGAGATTTTGAATTTTGCTCGACTATTGAAGTTTAGTCCGGAGATAAGGGATGCTCATCCGATAATAGGCCACCTAACAGCCAGCCTATGTTTCCGAGGTATGGATCTGACGATCACAAGCTCCACCAGCAAAGCGAGGGGAACAAGCAAGGATGGGAGAAACGTGGCTGCGGCCGAGAAATAATTAGAAGCCATGGCATACCGTCTGACACAAGAGAGAGGCCTGTGGCCGTTCCTGACCCCAAGGCTCGAGAATGCTTTGGACAATACGCGGGAGAATGCTCCACCTCTCGTCAAACAGATATGGGAATTTCTTGAGGGGCGGCTGGAGATGGCAGAGAGTAGGGAGATGACGGTGGGGAGATTCGTCACAGCGGCGATCGAAGTCACCGTCGGAGGATTCTGGAGGGAGGATGCCAAAGACGAGCTGAGAACGATGAAAGAACACGAAATCTTGAGATTCTTGAGTCCTTGTTGGGAGAAGAAGTAAATGTCTAAAGTGTTCTACGCAAAGGACACCATATTTGAAGCCTTCGTGCAAGAGCTGTTGAATATGCCCATAAACCTCTTGCTGGCCCTGTACTTTGTTTATCCCAGGTACCTGTTTAACATGGGTCCAGCATACATGTTCAGCAGAGGAGTGGAGACGCTTCGGATTGACGGGTACCTGACGCTAGTGCTTTTGACTCATGGTGAGCTGGTGGCATTTCATCGGTTGATGAATTATGGGGAGCCCCTGTCGATGGGGAAAACCCACCCAAGTGTCAATACCTACTCTTACAAGTGCGCTGCCGGACTGAAGACGTTGCTGGTGGAGTATCTTCTGATGCTAAACCGACACTTGACTGGCGAAGAACGGAATCCCAAGACGAGAGATGAATGGAGAGAGGGAAATGGTGGTATCCCTCTGCTTACTGATCTGTGCTTGGCCATGAGATCTGACCCGTTGGAACTGATCAGGGGGCTTGACGAGGTCGTAACCTGTATCTACGGGCCAGCGGTGGCGTATGCCTTTCCAGATCCTCTCGTGGCGGCATATCGCAATTCAGTGGTACACGTGAGCCTCATAAGCGTACTAGATGGGACGGCGTTGAATTGGTGCCGACAAGAGATGCTGAGGGCACGAATGAGTGACACAGTGCTCCTTGGGAAGGTAAAGGATCCCGAGTTAGTGGTGTTTAATTTCCGGGGCAGCTACAATGCAGAATGGAGGGAAGCGTGAAGGTCCCATTGAAACCTACCCCAAGTTCTGGAATTGGAATCCTTTGACGGCAGACTGGAGAGAAATCTTGAGAATCCCGGCGTGGAAGGGGAGCTTCGAGCGGGTGAAAAAGGAGCTAGAATTGACTCTGGAGAATGAAATTTTGCCCACCGTCGTCTCCGAGTTCCCGATAGTCAGGAGAATGATCTTGGGGATGAATAGCCCTCTGTTAGTCCCATCCTTGGACGCCCGAGCTTCAGTGGAGAAACAGCAGAAGAAGTTCACCGATCGGATATACAGCAGCAGTTCACTTCCACACGTGCGACATCAAGATAAACTCATGGGCAACACAAGAAAAGAAGATGAGGAGCTCAATGGTTCGGGACATCTTGAGAACGCTCGAGCAAGCGGATCTGGAGAACAAGCTGCCGGTTTGGAACGATGGAAGAATGATTGTGGAGGAAAGACACATAGCCTTGAAAGATGAAATGAATGAAAATATGTAGCCCTCACCGAGTACAAGAAGCAGAACCCAACTACACTCTCGCCCCTGTCAGTGTGCAACCGTGGAGATAAGAGATGTGGTCCCGTGGAGACGAGGTTTAGAGACGTACTTGTGAGAAGGCGAGCTGAGTCAGAAGGGGAGAGCATGGATGAGACTCTCAGTGAACCAGGAGAAGAAATGGAGGTGGGGAATACGACTGAGCCGAAACCAGCGGAG